AGTTCCAAGTATATTTTAGATATGAGACCCTTGTCCGTTGTATGGCTAGTAAAGATCTTCTCCCAATCTGTGGGCTTTCTATTGATCTTGCTAGCTATCAGACCACAGACATTTTAAAGAAGTAGTATCAGAAAATGTGTGAGATTAAGCTTAGGGAAGCCTCAGGGTGGATGACTCCTCTAGAACCTTAAGGACCTCAAACTGCCATTAGATACCTAGTGGCAGATCTGTGAGTTATTCTTGGTATACTAGTGACAATTAGAGGGAGGCCTGGATGGGTCTTGTGTGTGAGTGAATACATATAGACTCTGGGAAGACCAGTGGTATTGGGTGAATAGTGGCCATTCTTGTGGGACATCCCTGAAGTGACAAATGGAAGCTCTTTCCTGCTTTGAATAGCAAATGCTGGGGCAAATTCTCTCATAGAGCAGGTTCTGTGGGCCCCGGAAAGACAAGATCCTGGCAGAAGTCTGGGAAGGAAACAGATATTAGATATAATTAGTGATTTACAGGATAGGAAACTAAAGGAATACATAAAATGAATTTTCCATAATGTTTCTGTTTCCAAGTATGTTTTTCTTACTTTTTAGCCTCATATACTTTATGTATAGCCTTTTAAATAATAATGAACTATGAAAATTTCCTGGTTTTAATTGTATTCATTATCTTATTGCTAATATTAGTATAATTTTATTCACAAGTAGAGTTCTAATCAGAATCATTAATTTGTTTCCCACCTCCTACCTCACCATGCTGCATTTGCAGTTCTCTATTGTTCTTGATTAATCTGCAAGCTTTAGCTAGGAGCTTCTGTTCACCATTTTCTAGGGTTTTTTATTTCTCTGACTTACTAGTTATCCTCTTTCTTATTTTTCTTTTGTGGAAGCACATTTTTCTGAGGAAAAATGGTTTAAAATTTTTTTCATACTTTGGATAGTCTGGCTGGGTATATGATCTAGTATAGAAAAAAATTCCTTAGCTTTTTTTTTTGGTCAACTGTGGGGCTTGAACTGTTTCACTCAAGGCAAGCACTCTACCACTTGAGCCATAGCGCCACTTCCCATTTTTTAGTGGTTAAGTGGAGATAAGAATCTCATGGACTTTATTGCCTGGGATGGCTTTGTACCATGATCCTCAGCCTCCTAAGTAGCTAGGATTACAGGCGTGAGCCACTGGTGTCCTGCTTCCTTAAAATTTTTAAGACCTTGTTTTGTTGTTTTGTTAGTTCTTATATTGTTGGAAACTCTAGACTGTTCTGATTTCCAGTTCTTTCTTTCACGATTATTTGCTTCCTTTCTTTGTGGAACCTCCTGAGACTTCCCTTTTTATTCTTGGTGCGGAACTGTATTTTGGTTAATAAATATGTCTTTTCAGAGTTTTATTTGTGCCAATTTTGAGGCTTGAATTCGGGACTTTCACATATTGCTTGGCTTTATTGTTGCCAGCTAGTTCTACGTAAGCTAGATTTTCTTTTTCTGTTGAATGGCGATAAGAGTCTTGAGGATTTATCTGGTTGAGAAATGCAGTGCTTAGGTCTCCATCTCTCAGGTAGCTATAATTATAGCTAGTGCACAGCTTTGTCTTTTCAATTTTAAAATTAATTTATTTTGCCTTCAAAAATTTTATTATTTAATTTCAACATCTATTTCAATAAACTTTTATATGAATGTTTAATAAAAATTATCTTTTTAATGCAATAAGTCATATATAATCTTCTAAGGATTTTAGGTTTTGATTGAAGAAATTTGGAAAACTTCTTTTCTTTTATACACTCTTTAAATTACCTCTCATTTTCTTTGAATTCCTTGGTTCTGTTTATTTGTTTTGGTCTCTGACTTACCTGTTGACAGTT